ATCCCTGGGTACCCCCAGCCGTGGTGGATTCAGGTGCTGGTGGAGACAGTGGCTCCAAACGCTGTGCGTGGGGACAGAGCGAGGTGTCTTCCCCCTTCTCCCTCCCTGGTGGGTGCAGCGTGGGCAGTGCATGAGTCACACGTGGCAGCTCTGGTCTAGTGGCCGGACAAGCCGGTCGTTTAGCATAGCCCAGTGCTCTGTCTTGCTTGCAACGTGCAAGTCATGCCTGGGCTTGGCCTGGCCCCGATGGTCAACTGAAAATACCTGAGGCAGAGAAGAGCTCCTGGCTGGCAGACTGTGAATACTCTTTCAGCTGGTGGCCTCGGTCCCGGTGAGAGGAATGCTGTGACAATGTCATGTCTAAGACAAGGCCCCACTGGAGCTGCTCCGTGCAGACATCGTGGACTGTCAGCTACTGGCTGGATCTTAACTTCCCATCTCCTGCCAGAGGTGGGAGTAAATCTGGCTCTGGCTCCCTGGCAGGCGCCTGCCCTGCTGACTGCTCCACAGGGCACATTTAGGTCCCTGGAAGAGGAGAATGGGTCAAGGAGAGGAAGGTGGAAAAGTCAGAGCCCTTGATAATCTGTAGACGAATTTAAAACTGCCCTGCTAGAGAGTGAGATTTGTCTGATCTGAAGAATCTGTCTTTGAGAGGAAGGAAGAGCCTGGCCCCAGAGCCAGGCCTGGTGTGTCTTGGCAGCGTGGCACTTGCATGGCAGCTTTCAGAGCTGTCTCACGGCACGCTGTGACTTTCTCTATTGACTCAGCCCTTAAGGAACCCCGCGCAACCGCCCCAAGACGTGAGCCCCTTGGACGAGAGCGAGGCGAGCAAACTGGAAGCCAAGCAGGTTGTCTTGATCGATAGCTCTTACCAGTGCCAGTTCTGCCCCAGCAAATTCAACACCTACTTCCAGCTCAAGTCGCACATGACACAGCACAAGAACGAGCAGGTAGGGACAGAGGGTGTCGGTGGTGAGATTGGGATGGGCTTAATATAGCGCACCGGCTCCCAGAGTCTCTCCTGAGCCTCTTACTCTGCAAAGGTGCCAGCGCTTCGCATTCAGCTTGGCTCTGTGCAGGTCTGGGTTGTAGCTGTGTGGTCTGGGTGGCTTTGAAAAGCTCCGCTGCCTCCACCCTGCTGAGTGAGAAGTCAGCCGAGCAGGTTTGGGTGGCTAGAGAAGAAGCAAAGAAGCGAAGTCTAGAGTTTTCAGTGTCGGTGGCAGCTCTCGGGTTGTGGGACAGTCACCGCTGGGGTGTTGCAGTCTCACCCACTCGAGTGGTTTCAGGCGCTCACACCAACACCCCTTTCTCCCACCTTACTTTCTTAGGGGCGTGCCCTGACAAATCTGTCTTTGCAGAATGTTCAGCTCCCAGCAGCTTCTGCCGTTGTCTTCACCTGAAGCTGTCAGCCACATTTTGAGGCTGAGCTGCTCTGCATTGTTCTTTAAAGGCCCTTCCTCTGAGGAAGGCAGCAGAGGAAGGGGATGTTTTACCACCACATTGTATCCCGCTGCAGCGCAGGGCAGGGTTTCGCCACTGTGCCCTGACTGAGCAATAATATGGCTGTGGGCTTGGTGCGATGCTCTGGGAGCCACAGTGCTGCTTTGCTCATAACATCAGCTCAGCCGTTTTCCAGCGGTGCAGTGGCCCCTTTCGGTAAATGACCCAGTGGCAACGATTTCCAAAAAGGAAGGTCACTCTGTTGGCAGAGGATTTTCCCTGTTTGTTTCCATGGTGTGCCGCTCCAATCGCTCTCCCTTTTTCTCCCAGGTGTACAAGTGTGTGGTGAAGACCTGCGCTCAGACCTTCCAGAAGCTGGAGTCCTTCCTTGAGCACATCAAGAGTCACCAGGAGGAGCTGAGTTATCGCTGCCACCTCTGCAGCAAGGACTTCCCCTCCCTGTACGAGCTGGGTGTCCACCAGTACTCCCACAGCCTGCTGCCCCAGCACAGCCCCAAGAAGGACGTGGCCGTGTACAAGTACAGTAGCAATCGGTGCTCACAAGGCTTGTAGGAGTGAGTGGGTGCAGAGCGTGTTTGGCTGAGAGCGGTGGGGACATTAGAGGGGAGAGGGGGATGCGTGTTCAGCGGTTGCGGTCCTCTTGGGCACCCAAGTGGCAAACGGGGGGGCCCCTCCACCGGGCTGCTAGGGCGAAGCTCTTTGAATGTAAGGAACCTTTCAGAAAGACAGTGAAAGGCTGGGATCAGTTATGTGGGAAGATCCCATTGCTGCAAGTCCTCTTATCACCAGTCAAGAATGAGATGGGCACAGCTGGACCCGCTCTGGGCTGAATCAGAGAGCCAGGGAAGCCCTCTCTAAACACCCGCAGCAAAGGGAGTGCGGGTTGTAGAAGCTGTGCCCAGAAAAAATGAGTTATTTCTCCTATGCTTTTGCTGCGAAGGGGTCTGTTACCTGGGAAAGCCTTTCTGCTAGCGTAGAGGGAAAGGGTGAGGAGTTCCATGAAGAGCTCTCTGGAGTTTTTGAAATGCCTGCAGAGACATACAGGAAGAGTAGGAAGCCCAGAGGATACTGATGTCACCTTCATGGAATAAATATCTGCTCCTTCTTGCATAGACCATAATTTCTAGTTATCCTTGTGCTGTGGAGCTTCATCCTACAGCTCGCTAGTGGGGATCTTTGAGATCAGAGCCCTGCTTATGTTTGAGGAGGTTTTTGGTCTGATCTAAGGAAAAGGTGTCTCGCAGCAGATACACGGTGTGAGTGCCTCTGTATTCGTTGTTGAGGATGCACGTCCCCGTTGCCCGTTATCAGTCAGCTTTGGCAGAGGTCTCTGGCAGAAATGCTGCCAGAGTGTGTGAGAGCAGGTGAGTTAGGTGGAGAGGGCCCAGGTGGTTTTGGAGAGGTGGCAGCGTGAGCTGAATCTTTGTTAGACGCCAGAGAGCCCACACGGGAGCGTGTCGCCGGGTGGCTGCCCCAGCCGTGGGTAACGCTGCTGTCGTGCGGCGATCCCACCCTCAGCTCCTTCACTGGGAGCTGCTGTCTTCATGCAATGAAGATGGAAGGAGGTGTTTTAACTAAGGTGAAGCCTTTACTTAAGGCTTGTCTCCATGAGGAAGCGATGTGGAATACGTGCTCGGGTGCCTGGCTGCTCCCGTGGGCGTCTGTGTGGAAGAGCACTAGCGATTTAAAGGCTTCTCCACCCAGTTTCCCGGCATCTCCCCCTCGTGAAGGGTGCTAAGTGTGAGTGTGATCTGGCCATGTGGGTTGCTGAGGTTTTGGAGCACCTGGGGGGTGGTGTTATTGCCTGTACCAAACCGACCCTACCACAGATCAGCCTGGAAGGTGGCTGGTGAACGGGCTGGGCAGCCCTGCCTGGGGTCTGCCTGCGGCGTGGGGTTTGCTGGCGGCAGCCTCGTTCACAGGCTCTGTCCTTTCTCTCCGCATTCAGATGTGTGAAGTGTGTAAATAAGTACTCCACCCCGGAAGCCCTGGAGCACCATCTGCAGACAGCAACGCACAACTTTCCCTGCCCTCACTGCCAGAAGGTGGGTGGGTGACCGCTGCCTGAGCCTGTCCTGGACATGTAGCTAGGGCTCTGAGGGGGATGGGAACCCTCGGCTCCCTTTCCTCTCCCTTCCTACCTCAGTACGGACTGGCAGGCTCACGAGGTGCTTTTCAGAGAGGCAGAGGTGATCGCACCCCTGCCCTCCAGCTCTCTGGCCTCTCACGCAGAGCATGTTCCTCCCCACAGTGCTGGCTTTTCTCCCAGCTCCTGTTTGCTGAACAGAATTTGTCAGAGGAGCTCCCTTATTCCCACGACAGCACAGGACTGCACGCTCTGGGCTGCTGTCCTTATTTCTTAAAAGCAAATGTACCAGGAGGAGCGAGGCTGCTTTTGGGAAGTCTTAGAGTGGCGGCAGTGCGTTTGACCCGCCGAGCCTGGCTACCTGTGGCTGGAAGGTTGGGCATGAAAAGCCCTAGGTCTTGGGGGAGCTCATGCACCTCCATTGCTGTCCTCATCTGTCGGAACAGAAGTCTCTGGGTTCCCCCTCATTCCCCTCTTTTGGATGAGTGCTCTGTGTCCTTGGCAAAGAGAAACCTGTCTGAGTGATGTGACTGGGACGATGCCCAGGTAGGTTTTGGCTAGAAATAGTCTCTTCAGCACAGCCCCTGAGGGGTTTGAGGGGCAGAATTTTGTGGGATTTGAATTCTAATAAATTATTTTTTGAAATCCAGACTAAAATTTGGACCCTTGCTCCTCTGTTTATAGCAAAGGAAATGAAAATCCTGCAGTGGGGGCAGGGACAATCTCAAAGGAGTGACCACTCTGTACTGAGGTAGCTCAGGAAGGGGAAACGCACTCCTGCCATGGTTAGTAACCCGTCTTTCTTTACCTGTCTTCTCTCCACTTCCCCCACCAGGTGACAAATGCCCTTCTCAGCCTGGGTGGGACTTTCAGCGTGCAGCACAGGGGTTTGAAAGCCCATTCTCTGCAGCAGTATTTTTTACTTCCATTTGTATTCTTACTAATATTGCTGTTTTCTGGAGAGCGAGAGTGCTGAGTACCAGAACTCCTGGCTCTCCTCCGCTCCCCTCGGATGTGTGCTTGCAGCCCCCTCATTAGGAATTCACTTAGCTTGGGTATTTTCAGTATCCCCATTAGCCAAAGGAACCATTCATACTGGCTTTATAAAGACCATGAATGAGAGCCTTTGGTAACAGATGATCGGGAAGCACAAACTGAAGTTAAGGCTGTGGGAAGGTTCTGGGGGTCCTTGCCCAGCCCATCCGACTGCTGATTCCGCTGGGAGACCGGGCATGCAGCTGGGGTGCTGCTCCTCAGCAGGATGGTGTTACAAAACTTAGCAGCAAGGTTTCAGCTTATGTGTTTCTTAAGGATAAGAATCACAGAATCATTGAATCATTTAGGTTGGAAAAGACCTTTAAGATCATCCAGTCCAACCATTAACCTAACGCTACCAAGTCCACACTAAACCAATTAAGGGCAGAGTAGCAATCCCACGCCTCCTGGCTTGGTGGCTGCATCATTTATAATGAGAGTAAAAACCAGGAATCATTAAAGTTGGAAAGGATCTCTAAGATCATCATTCCAGTCATCAACCCAACACCACCATGCCCACTAAACCATGTCCCCAAGTGCCACATCTGCCCATTTTTTGAACTCTTCCAGGAATGGGGACTCCACCACCTCTCTGGGCAGCCTGTTCCAATGCTTGAGTACCCTTTCTGTGAAGAAATTTTTCCTAATATCCAATCTAAACCTCGGTGGTGGTTTTTTTGTTTTTTGTTTGTTTTGTTTCATTTTGTTTTGTTAAAAGCTTTCTCTGTATCTTCCTTATGCAAACTAAAGGTTTTCGCAGTGCGTCCTTTCCACGAAAGCAGTCACCATGAGCTTCTTATGCTTTCTATACAGGTCACACCTCCCACGCCCGTGCAGGCTCGGTGATGTCCCTTGTGCGCCGCGGACTCTTAGCCTTGTTTTTCTGTGTTCACAGGTGTTCCCCTGCGAGAGGTACCTGCGCCGCCACATCCCCACACATGGCGGGGGCAGCAAGTTCAAGTGCCAGATCTGCAAGAAGTTCTTTCGCCGGGAGCACTACCTCAAGCTGCACGCCCACATCCACTCGGGTATGGACTCCCCCGGCACCACAGTGCTCACTATCTCAGTATCGTGGTCCTTGCTGCACGCTGTAATGTCCTGGCTATTTTCCTCGTAACCAGAGTAACAGAGTTGAGTGCATGTGTCATTCGTAGTAACAAGGGTTTGGGAAACGTATGGGTTTGGTTCAGCCTCACGCCCAGTACTGCACCAGTTAGAAGTGGGACACAGAGGTGGCTTCCCCACTGCCCGCAGTTGCAGAAGCTAAGGAAGCTGGCCCTGGAGATCAGGAGCAGCACGCAGTGTGGATTGTATCCATCCATTTAGGGCCACAAAAATGATCTGACGGCTGGAGCCCCTCTGCTGCGAGGCCAGGCTGAGGGAGCTGGGGGTGTTCAGCCTGGAGAGGAGAAGGCTGCGGGGAGACCTGAGTGCGGCCTGGCAGCGCTGAAAGGGGCCTGCAGGAAAGACGGGGACAGGCTTTTTAGCAAGGCCTGTTGTGACAGGACAAGGAGTAATGGATTTAAACTAAAGAAGAATAGATTTAGACTGGACATAAGGAAGAAATTGTTTACAGTGAGGGTGGTGAGGCACTGGCAGAGGTTGCCCAGAGAGGCGGTGGAGGCCCCATCCCCAGAACCATCCCAGGCCAGGTTGGACGGGGCTCTGAGCACCCTGCTCTGGTTAAAGCTGTCCCTGCTCGCTGCAGGGGCTGGGCTGGGTGAGCTCTAAAGCTCCCTTCCCACCCAAACCGTTCTGTGATTCTATGATTTACCCATCAGGCAGGGTAGGGAAGCTCGGGGACGTTTATAGCAAAGCAGAGAGCGGCACTACTGCCAGAGTGAATCCCGTACGTGCCTAGAGCAGCCCTGTGTGACTGGACTCTCCCTGACTCTTGGTCTCTTTTTTTACCCAGGTGAAAAGCCCTTTAAATGCTCAGTGTGTGATGCGGCCTTCAATCGGAAAGACAAACTCAAGCGACATATGCTGATCCATGAGCCTTTTAAGAAATACAAATGTCCCTTCTCGTACGTAGTGTGTCTGCAGCATGGCGGCATGTCTTAACGGGGTTGGGATGGGGTTTGGGAAGGAAGCAGTGTCTCTTGTAGACATCCTAGGGTACATGTGTGGCATCTGCCAATCCACTACTTCCTGGGAAGGCAGTAATGCTCTGTGCTGTTAAACTGGGAACCCAGAAGTCCCAGTTCCTGTCATGTGAGGCCACATAATTTCATCTCACTTCTTCGAGCCTGTAAAATAACGCCTGCCTTCATGGGAAGCTTGGGGGATTGCACTTGGGGAAGCACTGGGGAAGAGAAGGAGTATTATTTGAGCACAAAGCACCAGCTTGCCTGAATGATGGGCTCTCCCCAGCTGCCGTGTCTCGAAAAGCACTTGGCCACATAGGAGCTAATGTACAAGCGAAAGAAACCCAGGTTTAGAAGGTGCATCCCCAAATCCATGGCACAGCCATGGGCCCTCTGAGATAACCAAGATGGAACTGACTTCTCCCTGCTCCGACCACCTTGTAGCTCCGTCCAAAATACTTCTGTCTGTAGGTGAGATCTTGAACCTGCTGCTTTTAGGAGCCTTCACGGTGAGACGCAGGCCATGTGTAGTCTAGCAGGAGCCAGGCATCCCTGTAGCAGCCTGTTTATTTCTTGCCCCTCTCCAGAAGGGTTGAAATTGGTAGTGTTAGGTTAATGGTTGGACTTGATGATCTTAAAGGTCTTTTCCAACCTAAGTGATTCGATAATTCTATTCTATAAATAGTGGAGCTCCTAGAGACTGCGCCTGGGGACCCATCTGGGTGCTGCTAAGGAGAGGGGCTGTGGATCCCTTTATGGTCCAGGATCTGTTTATGCACCGATCCTCAGCTGATTCGTGCTGCTCACCCGCATTTGTTGTTGTTACAGAAGCCACACGGGCTGCAATAAAGAGTTCAACAGGCCTGACAAGCTGAAGGCTCACATACTGTCCCATTCGGGTAAGTGCAGCTCTGCCCACGCTGCCAGAGGTTGGGAACGCAGTGGCTGGGATTCGCTGCGGTGCTGCGTGCTGCAGAAGGAGTAAGCTTGAGAAGCGGGATAGCAAACGGTGCAAGTGCTTCTGCTGTATACCCCCAGAAGCGCGGGATGTTCCTTACAGGTGCTTTCCCTGCAGTGTCCCTCCACCCACCGCTCAGCTAACACGGCTACTGCGTAGTTTTCCGTGCGGGAATTTTCCACCGCGTGTGGTAAAGTGTTTCCCAGATATAGGCCTAAATTCTTAATATAATTTATTAGCTTTAGATTTCTTTTTTTTTTAATCTCTGTTTCTGCAGGCCTGTTTAAGTGAGCTTGCATTTTACGGCTACGTGTAAGCTTTGGGCTGTTTTCTAAGGCAATATAAATCTGTAGGCAGGGCCTGCTGGTGCTTGGAAGCAGAGCTGGATTACTCGGTGTGTTTGCTATCAAATGAATATCCAGAGTGCTCTGTCCGCCCCTCCCCAATACCATCTCGCGTTCAAAAGGAGATCTCTTGGGATTTCATTCCCTTCTCTCTGTGTTCCAAAAATGATGCTCCCACTCCTAACAAAGACAAATAATTTATTCCCATGCCCTAGGGAACGTTCTCACTTTTGTCTCTTGGGGTAAAACTGAAAGTCTTTTCTTGTGCCTGTCATGTCCAAAGCCCTGCAGAGTGCGATCAGATGGGACTGTGCTGACAGCGCAGTGGATGGTTTGTTTCAGACTGTGCGTTCCCATACTTGGGAGGAGAAAAAAAAAAAAGTGAAAATTTTTTTACTTACCAAATACACTTGAAAAAAATCAGAGTTTAAGACTGGTTTGCATTTTCATCACAATTACCTGACATTTTTTTCTGGTGATATTTTACTCCTCTTATTTGAGGCAAGAACTGTTGTTTTAGCCCTTCCTAAACACAGACAATTCAAGGGGTAGCCACTCACCCTTTTCTGACTGCAAATTTGCCTGGCACAATGTCTGCTCAGGCCATGGGGGTTTTGGTTTGTTTTAATTAGCAAGCTGAAAAAGAACAGGGCTTCCTGGGTGAGGAGGTGGCTGTTTCAAGCTTTTATCAGGGAACATCTCCTTGGAAGAGGAGATGAAGCTGTCACGCGTGCGGTGCAGATTTTCCTGAAGATCTGCATTGGGATGCAGGGTCTCTAACTGAGCTCTCTCTCCTCCGATGCTCTGTGCAGGGATGAAGATCCACAAGTGCCAGTACTGTAACAAGTCCTTCAGCCGACGAGCCCACATGATAGAGCATCAGCGCTCGCACACCGGTAACTACAAATACCGCTGCCCCACCTGCAGCAAAGGCTTCACGCGCCACAAGTACATGAAGGACCACAAGTGCCGGCTGGGCTCACCCAAGGACAAAGACCTGCAGCTCAGGAAGCCCCAGAAGAAGCGGGTGGCGCGGGGACGCAAGGTGGGCCTTTCCCTCCCCAACCAGCTGGGCCTGGCGGAGCTGAAGGACGGTGCCGCCGGGGAAAGCCCACCCGAAGGTGGCCCTAACAAAGAACCGTTCCAGGAGTCGGACGCAGTCCTGTCCATCGTGGTTGGTGGGTCAGGAGCTGCTGACTCGGATCTTGTCGTTCCTGGTCAGCCCAACAGCATCGCATCCAATTTGGCCCTGGCAGAACTGCAGACTGCCTCAGACGGCCCCTGCACCATGCTGGCTGTCCCCGTTTACATCCAGACGACGGAGTGATAACGCGTAGAGCCACTGTGTGGCTGCGGGCTGCTGCTGGGGCTGTCGAACTCGGTGCTGAAATTCATCCCAGTGAAAAAGACCAAAGCTCTTGTGGGGAGGTAGGTGGATATGGGAGAGAATGGCTTTCGTCTCCACTTGTTCTTCCCATCCTTGGGCAGAGGACTGCTTGGAAGCCACCGACGGCTACAAGGCACTGAAGGGAATGGCTCCGTTATTTCTTGTCCCTCTGCGTCACTGGTCAGCCTAGGGCAAGAAAGACTTAAGATCCCTGAATCAGGGTAAGGAGAAGGAGCGTGCAAACTTGCAACAAACAGAGCTGCTGAAATCAGGCGGCTTTGCAAATCACAGCCTGTCCCATCTGTGGTTTTTCTGGCCTAAAAGCTGTATTGCCCAGTATTTGGGTGGCCTTTCCGAGAGCAAGCAATTGATCCTTCCTAGTGGAAGCAAGTTCATCCTGAGATCCTTTGGGAACACTGTTCGGAAATACCCTGATAGACTTATCTCTGGTATCTTTCTCCTCTCTGTCTCTCTCAGTGGAAAGATCACCTTGTCTGTACTACATGTGTTATAAACACCGTGGACCTCGTGTGCCGTGTGGAGTCGGTGGGTGGGAACACGCACGTGTGGTGGCCCTTCTCTCTGGTCAGTATTCTCTCCATAGCGTTTGTTCTTTTCATGTTTTTTTCTCCATATCCAAGGATTCCAAGTGCCTTAGACATCAGTGAGTCAATCTTTGTGACGGTTAAACGTGACACCTTCTGCGTGCAGCAGGGGAGACTAAGGCCTGGGTGAAGGGACCTGTCCGGGGTCACACAACAAACCTGTGATGCATCCAGGAGTCGGTTTTCTGGCACCGTCTCCGGACTAGCTGCTGCAGGGTAATTCTGTGCACTTCTGTCAGCTGATTCCCAGCCCGTGCATTCCCTTGGCTCCGTTCTGTGGGCCAGTTGTTTTGGTGGGTCACTGGCAGGTGGGGAGTTGGTGTGGTTTGGTAGCAAGAAAGTCTGGTGTGACTGGGACAATTTCTCTTGGCCACTTAGCACGGGAGCACCAAACTCGGGAACTGAAAATTATCGTTGTGCAGTATTGGTGAAGGAGGCTGCTCTGCTCTGCTTTCTTCCTGCTCCATGTGTAGGCCAGCCAAGCCGAGCTTTCCCGGGTAAATTTGTGTGATGAGCTGCTAAGTTGTCTGTAGATGCAAAATGCTGCGTTTCCAGCCTGTTTGCATGGGCTCAGTCAGTCCTGGGTGCCAAAACTCTGGCTGCGGAGTCCCCTGCCTTGCCGTCTGGGGAACGGTGGGTGTTTCTGGCCGCCGGAGCAGTCGGCCCGGCGTTACTGGTCTGACCGGCCTGACCCCGACCCTGCCTGCAACCTGCCTGAGCTCCAGCCCATCGCTTGACCTCAAGGTGCTCTTCCTGTCTCCTTGCAGTGTATTTTGCTCAAGTATTAAAAACAGCAGCTTGCAGAGACAGCATGACGGTGCCTTTCCCACTGTGGCATCTCCTCCGGGTGATGTGGGCGCCCAGCCTGCACCCAGTCTAATGACAGGTTACGCTGTCACCCCTGGAAGACCGTCACACGGTTCCTGTCAGGATGGGTCCCACCACCAGTTCGCTTTGTTCACTCACTTCCCTAACTCTCGCTTTTTGCCCCTTTCGCTTTTCTGTGATGCTTCTGCAGCTCCTGCTGTTGGCGGGCGTTAGGAAACGGAGCACAGGGCTTACAAGGGGAGGCTGGGAGAAGGGGGGTGTTCAGGCTTTAGAAGAGGTTCAGGAGAGGTCTTGCTGCTGCCTAACAGGCGGAGGTGGAGAAAGTGGAGCCGGACTCCTCGGAGGTGCACAGGGATGGGACGAGCGGCAACAGGGACGTGTTGGAACACGGCAACTTCTGACTTGATACAAGGAAATTAAATTTCTACCAAGAGGGTGCTCAGAGGAAGGAGGCCGCAGAGAGGCGGTGAGATCTCGGTACCTGGTGATACTCCAAATTCAATGGAGCATCCTGCTCTGAGTGGACGTGCTTGGGAGGAGGTGGCTGGGCCAGAGACCTCCAGACGGTCCTTCCTACTTACGTGTTTCTGCGCTTCTGTGAAATGTCTTGTCTGCTTTGAAGGACAGAGTTTATTTGCCCACAATGTTTGTTTTAAATACTTAGCTCTCACAGGAGGGGAACAGTATCAGGAAATAGTTTGCTAAATATACTTTTCCTATTTTCCTCCCCTCTGTGCCTGCACCATACGGTGTCATTATGTGGTCTCTGGCGCTTGCTGCGGCGCCGCACTTGGGTCTATTTTGAGACGACGATATGTGGGCGCAGCGCTCCTCCAGCTCCAAGGCACCGTCTGGAGGCCTGGCCCTTCCTTTCGGCCCCTGCTTTCCACCAGCGCTGCGCACAGGCCGGCCAGTCTAAATGAGATGCTGGAAGCTGGTTTCCACTGGGTACGCTGAGTGTAGTTCAAGGAGTGGAAGTAGAGCCGCAAAACGGTCTCGTACGTGACTGTGGCACGCGGGAGCTGAGAGATCCCGCGCTGTTTGCTTGACACACGTTTGCATGTGTGGTGGCGTTGAACCGAAACACGTTTTACCGATTTTTATCTTGAGCATAATGATCGTCCTCTTAGAGTAAACATCGGAGCGATGGTGCGTAAGATATGTAACAGAGGTCCCTGAGCAGAAGAGGGGCCGGGCTGGCTGGTTGTGCAGCTCGTTGCCTTCGGAAACTCCGTGGATGCGAGTTCCTACGCGCGTCTGACGGATGCTGCGGCCCCGGGGGGACTGGCGGAGGGAAGGACGGGCGAGTGCCCGCGCAGGAGCAGCAGCAGGTCCGGGCACCCCCGCAGAGCTGGGTAGCTTCTGGAGCCTTGCTGCCCTTTCTGTGGAAAGGAAAAAAAAAAAAAAACCCACAGTTATTTAAAACAACAACAAAATAACCTCTCTCCTCTGTAGCCATACTGCCTGCAGATTAAATTTTACCACGGAAGGAAATGTCATGGGAAAGAGAATTTAATTAGAAGACTAAATGCTGTCACTGAGACAGCGCGAGTTACGTGCAGTCAGCGCTACTCGGTACGCGGGGACCGGTTGTGCAGGGAAGGTGCCTCATCGCAGCCGGCCGCAAACGTCGGACACTCTTCCTATTTCCTGCTGGCCAAAAGGGAAGAATTCTACCCAGAATTTTACCCCATTTCTGTTTCTCTAGCGGGGGCCTGCCCACTGCTCAGCTGCAGCGTGGGCCGAGGCGGATCTAAGCTGCTCAGGGCACTGATTTTGTCCCAGCACCTTTCCACAGGACTGGTTCCATCCTGCGTCCTGGGTACAATCGTTTTCTTTACAGAACCCCCGTCAGAAGCTTCTTGGCATTTTCTGGAAGTTCCCTGGAGTACCCCAGGGCCAGAGCCATCCCTGGGAGGACTGGAGCCGGTACGGGATCAGAACAAGGCCGCGGTGCTCAGCCCCCGCTTCTGACCGCAGGTGCTTATGGAAGAGTAAGAAAGGGGCAGGTAAACGCTCTGCCCCCCTGGTACTCATCCAGCCTCCGATGCCGTCGGCTGCGGGGGCTTCCCTGCCCTGGAGTGGTTTCTGTAAGCTTCCGTGGATTTTTCTTACTTTTTTCTTTTTTTGTCTGTCTTCTGTATCTGCCATTACGGCGTTAACCAGGTAGAACGAGGCAGGATCCATTACACAGCTCCGCTGCGGAATTCCCACCCTGTACGTACGAAGGCTGTGTTTTAATGATACTAGCCGGTGCAGCGCCTTTCCCCACTCACCGAGGGCATGAAAAGGCTCTCTTGCTCCAGCAGCAGTTTTGTTTTTTTTTTCCTCTTTGCCGTTTGGTGTGCATATCCCGGCCTGTTTTACAGAGCACTAACTAGTCCAACCCTGCTCAAAAGCAATGGTTAATTTTCTTGGGTGATTTGCAGTGGCAAACGCTACTGTTGTCCGAGCCTGTTAATTAATGAACTTGTTTTCACACCGCCACTGCGAGCGGCGAGGGGGATGTTTATTACTTTTACAGATGATAGAGGCCAAGCACAAAGAAACGCAAGTCAGAAGTATCCAGTGAAGGCTGGTAGCGGGCTGAGGCACTTCAGACTTGATTTCTTTGCTGGACTTGGGACTCTACGCAGGTACTGTGGTCGCGGAGCACGGAATTACGTCCACGCCGCCTCCACAGAGCGTGGCTCGAGTGTCCAGGAAATAAGGAGCTCACAACTAGTCACCGCCAGTTAAGCAACCGTGACTCTGGACTTACTCGATTTTGCAAAGTTGGCAAGTTGAGAAAGTTTAAAAGAAAATTTCACCACGGTAGCTCGATGTCTTAGCGGGCTGGGCCCAGGCGGCAGGGTCTGAGGGACAGGCTAAGGGCGGTAATCGAGCAGCGTGGACGGGCGCTAGGGAGGAGGCCGCTTTCTGGGGCCTGCGCCCAAACCTGAGCCCCTCTCCCCAGCCCTGTCCCTGCCCGGCCCTCGG